AGTGTCTACAAAATGTATGAGAAGAGAAGAAAGGCCTCAGAAGAGGCAGATATATCCCAGGATGCTTTGCACAGAGCTCTACTCGCAAAGCATAATGAGATTTTCTGTCACAGAGACCTGCTGTCGCCACAGTCTGTCGCCAATCAACAGCGGTGACATCATGCAGTAGAGGAGGAGTTATGTGACCAACGGGGAGCAAAAAGCAGTGATCATCTGTCCAAATGGTAAGTTGACTGAGTTCGATATATAGCCCCTGCTCTATATAGTGATTGAGGGATTTAGGGGTTAGGGTGGACGTTCGGACACAGTAAGCTTGTATGAGTTATGAGAACAGCAACTTTTAAACAGAGCGTGAACAAGGAGAAATGGCCTCATGTATGCTCTCGCACACGTTTAATAGGAGTTCCATCGCGGGAGGGGGTAGAGACTTCTGCATGTGCATTTTTTTTTTTAATAACTAAGTAAGTAGCCTCCTTTTATCAAGGCTACAATGGTTCATAAACCTGTTGAGTTTAAAAAGCAATTCAAATATTGGCAGGCAGTAACAGGCAAACCCAGAAGCAGAAAACAAGCGCACCCTCTCTATAGCTCTCATTCCATTGGCTGGAAAGTTGCTAGGTGACGATCCAACTCAAGTCTGAGAAAGAGCTAAAAAAATAAAAAATTCACAAGCTGAGTTTGTGAGCAGAGAGCAGTTTTCATGTGAGAACAGATTGAACAAGAGGAAAAATTAACTGTGCAAGAAGCATTAGATGTGGTGAAGAAGAGAAGGATTTGAGAGGAAGCAGAAGGTGAGTGCAAGTAGAGGAGATCCTGCTCTGAAAGTGAAAATGTGTGATATTGGTTATTGGCAGGAGAAATCATCCATAGTTTTTGTGCTTTGTGTTTATTTATAGAGGGAGACACCTTTAAGTCATTTGAAAAATGGAAAATAGAATTTAACTTGGAAAATAGAGACCTATTTATATATTTACTAGTACAATCTTTTTATGACAGGGAAATAAGGAAAGGTGAGTCCTTTACCATTTTTGATATTGTTAGTCTTTTCAGATGCCTATACTGGCCTTCCCACTCAGTGTCTAAGCTTTATTAAGATTTGCAAAGACAAAGTGGTAAGGATACATTATATGTAATATAAAAATCAAAGAAAAGGAGCTGAAGGTTATAATATTGATTGGCATGCCATGTGTAGTATAAAGCAAATATCAACTAGTTCTAAAAGATGGGGGGAATTTGGGTGGGAAAGAATCTCATATGGGTCATGTCCATAACTAAAAGGATTCTGGGACGGTGCTATGAAATAATAGACCTCAAAGCCTTCGTCGTCCCCAAGGATCCCAAAGCATTTCTACTGAGTTTTCTGCCCACAGAGGTAATTCAAGAAGAAGACAAATGAGTCCGGCGACAAAGGCCATAACCGGGAACAGACTTAACCCTCTCCAGGCAGATGTTGCAGATTTGCAACAGCTAAATGCCACTTAGCTAATTACTCCACATCCATATTTTAAGCGCTTTTGTTACTCAGAAGTACAACAGAAGGACTTAGTTGTGCATTTGCAACAAACAGTTTCTCTCCAGCTCACCAGATAGCACTGCTGACTCACTTTCAACATGGCTGAGTCCTTGGTGTCACTGAAACAGATTTTCTAAGCAACAGTTTCATGTAAGTATCACTACCAATTTCCATTATTTTGAAATCAATACTACGGTACATAAGATGAATCATGAATGTGTATAGATATGACATATGCCAAATAGTAGATTTTATCTCCTCTGGGTTTTTCACCAGAGGCATCTCAATTTCAACGTTGTGAATTTGCAACGTGTGCCCAAACAGGTACCAACGCTACATGCTTTATGTACTAGTTTGCCTATAATTTGAACATTTTAACAGAAACTGCCTTCTCAAGAGGTTTTGAGATGTCGGTGGAGAAAACGTTTGAGAAAAAGTTGTCTCTAATGTTGTGAGAGAAATTTTTTTTTCGAATTTTGTTTTGTTAATTTTTTGTTTGTGACATTCAAATAAAGTTAACGTTTATATCAGATTCAGTCTTCAGTGTTAATTTACCACTCCAGGCCACTGTTGCAAATCTGCAACATCCCAGAATTCATTGCATGTGAAGGTCTCTCTCAAAAAAAGGTCTGAATTGTATATTACTACCCCATATGATCATTTTCTCCAAAT